TTTAATTAGTTTAATATTCATGTCACTAGCTTAGTTGTAGTGTAGTTGCCTTATTTTCTTAGATAGGTGGACAATCCATGTTTGTTGTTTGATGTTCCATACTTATGAATGCAAGTAGTATATTTCTCTAATTTGATGATGTGCCTTGATTGTGGACTTAAAGGAAGGAATAATGGCTTAATTTGATATGTTGTACTACTCACAAATTTGGCTAGACAATGTATACTTAATTAGTCATCCATGCTTGTTGATTCAATTAATGACACACACTTGTATTGCAACACACAATCCCTCTCATTCATTAAACATTGAGTGTCTAGGAAGATGATGTTTGGCAGTGACCTCTAAGTCCCAAGACCCGTCTCTTATATTCTTTACATTTCATTCTACTTCAATTGCTTTACTTTGCATCCATTTAGTTTACATTTTAACCAATCAAAACATCTTTGATCACTCGACCTACTAATCCAACGTTGATTTCCAAGCTAGATACACTCCATTTCCCTTGGGACGATCCTTACTCACCCTAACTATATTTATAGTTAAAAATGGTAGTGGTAATCTCTAAATTTAAACTTGACCACACTACACACTCTTTGTACAACTTTGGGTACATTGACAATGGGCAGAACCAATGTGATTTTAAATAAGGTTTGGCTGTTTGCCACATATCATATACATAAAATGGATGTCAAAAAGTGTGCTTAAGCACACATTACAAGTCTTAAGGTAAAAATGATATTTTTAACCTAACTATGCATTACAACTTGAAAGGCAAAACGATGCATGCTAACACTTGCATGCTCGTTAAAATATATCAAATCATATCAAAATATACAAGATGACTTAGGCATGTTGTGCATCCCAAACCAAGGTATCCATACCTAAAAAATAACCCAACAACTTAGGGTGAGTAAACAAGTTACTCGTAAGGAGAAGTGCATGTGTATACCCTAAAGTTTCAAATGCCATGCAAGTTCAACATAAATAGTCACAAGGGATCATTCCTCCTAACGTCTATGTTCCAAGGTGAACTAAAGGATTATCTCAAGTTACTTAAGCAATTGAAATGAAAGGCAACATACAAGTACACATGCTCAAGTATATAAAATAATATTGAAACACAATGCACGACATACAAGCATACACTTTCAAGTATACTAAACCATAATAAAACAAGTTTTGCAATGTCTAAGCATACATACACAAGTATACAATTAATATGAAAAACTCGTAAATCAAGTATACAAGTACAAGTATACTATGCTAAATGAATTACGCATAAGACAAGTATACACGGCATAAGTATACTAAATTAAATTTACACACACGGACCAAGTATACAAGTTCAAGTATACAAAATGAGGTTTAAATGAACGAAACAAATATACAAGTTCAAGTATGCTAAATGAGATTTAAATACACGAACAAATACACAAGTTCAAGTATACTAAATAAGATTTAAATATGTAAGGCGAGCACCAATTCACAAGCTATAAGTAATTCATGATTAACTACTTAGAATTTAATGCAAAAATCAAATAGTGGAAAGACTATGATACTTGGTCACAGACCAAGCAAGTTATTCTGGGTAATTATGACCCACAAGGTACTACCTAGTGCGTGCGTGTATAAGTTATTCTAGGCAATTACGACCCACAAAGTACTACCTATTGCACACTTCATATGACTTAGGAAACTCTTGTCTTCGTATTAGAGCCAAACTCTATTCATCACATATATATTGTCCTTATAAGCCTTCCAAAATCAATAAGTTCAAAACTTATGCAAAATCAATAAGTTAGACTAAACTTATACAAAATCAAGTAATGCATAAAAACCATCTTCCATGCACAAGTAAGATTGAGTCCACACAAATCATGTCCTAGAATTCAAGTCTAAATGGCATATGACATGTCAAGTTCTCGATATGCAATTTATACACAAAATATGAATATTTTACAACAATTAAGCCAAATTACCATCATAAGCCACAAGAACTAAACAAGCTACAATTTAGTAACTAGTTTTCAAGGTAATCAATGGTAATATTCTAAACAAGTTATATACCTATGCATGATATATTTAAACAAGCTTTGCAAGACAATGATATTATATATCATGCTAAGTCCGAATACCATTTTAAGAGGCCACAAGTACTAAATTTACATAAGTCTAGTAATATGCTCACATGGTAACCAAACGTACTACATTTCAAGAGATTATCATCCTAATATGAAAAGTCTCTAAAATCAAATAATTTGGAAAATGAAACAATTTACCTATGGCAAGATATACATGCTTCCAAGGCTTTGAATTATCAATTAAGCTATACAATGCCTATATACTATAATTCCTTAAGCTACTAAATACATGATATCTCTACACACTATATATATATAAGGTAAGCATGCCTCTAAATCATGAATTTAGCTACACAATATATATATATATATACTATAATTTGGAAAGCTATACATATATATACACCAAATATGCTTTTAAAACACTAAACCCTAAGTCATTTCAAGGATTTACAATCTATATACAAGACTATGGTTTAGTAAGCATGTAAACAATATATATTAAGCTCCAAAAACACTAAAATACTAAGGAAATAAACATACAACAACCCCTACCTCACTTTGAGATGAAATCTCAAATCTCCACCGAAGCAGAACTGATCCGAATCCTACAATACTTTGGGGTTTTGTCAGGAATAACAAAATGAACATTAAACCCTAAGGACATAACACCAAAATCCAAACTTGACTTCAAACCCGAACTCAAAAAATGGCCAAAACGAAATTCCAATTGGTTGGAATCGAATGCCTCGTTAAGGCCGACATTAAAGCCTAAGGCATTAACGGAAAAATCCAAAAAAAGGAAGGCCAAAAGGGAGGAAGAAGGGTGGCAGCCCAAAGGGCTGCCATGGCTGCTGGCTAAGAGAGGGAGAAGATGACATGAAATATCCCACTCACCCCTTGTTTATAAAAAAACTCAAAAAATGCCCTGAACGGGTCCCGCCCGGCCCGAAAAAGTGGAATTCGAGCAGACACGCTCAAACGGCAAAAACACCATGAACAAAAAAGAACCGAAATGATAAAAAAAAATTGAACAATAGAAGAAACAGCGTCGAAAATCGAGTCCCGAGTAGAGAGATATGCCCCGAACAAGTTCTGCAGCAACCGGAGTCAAAAAACTCGAAAACTGGGGAGATCAACCGCAAGACAATTCTAAGAGTATACAACTCGATGAAATGTGAAAATGAATCCCGTACGAAGATCCAAGCCCCAAGGAGACACTTTGCAATTAACTTTCATTAATTGCACAAAGGCCCCTACACAAAAGGATAACTGCGTAAGTGACCCAAATGAAAATATCTTCCAAAAGATATTTTCTTAAAAACCCCCAAATCAAAATATCTTGAAAAAATATTTATGAAAAGTACCCCAAGAAACGAAAATGTTTCTAAAGAATCTTTTCATTCACGCCTCTACGGGAAAAAGAAACAACCAGCGAGCTTTTCTCCAAAAGTATAGTTACGTCTTTCAAGGAATCAACAAGAATGAAAGCACATGAAGTCAAAAATCAACTCTGACCATGAAGAGTGAGGTTATGAGAAAGGAAATTTCAATGAAAAAATAATAATTCATTAAAATGGAGAAAAAGGAAATGAAGGAAAATGACCGGGTCAGTACATTACTATTATCTTGGCTTCAATAAATTAATAATTGTTGATCCGGTCCAATAAATATGAACCTAATTCAATTAAATCATAAATTAATTTCTACTCCACTAAAGGAAATTAATTGACCTCCAATCAAATAGTAAATAACCACTAATTCAATGTTGTACTTGACTCCTCTATGCATAATTAACTATCGGATAATTAAAGCCATAAATCCGACCGCACAATTAATATATTTATTTTGGTTCCTTAATTATTTTCCGACTTAATCATAACAAAACATTTGTTTGACAAAAATAATAATTTAGTAAATAAATACATAAAAAAAAATAAAAATAAAAATAAAAACTATTTAGTCTACAACACACGAAGACCTTCAAATTTACTTTGTGATCAACCATAATCGATATAAATAAATACAAATAGCACCGATACAAATATTGATAATATAATCATCTAACTATTAATTACATAATTACCCAGAGTGCCAATTATAAGATCCACCGATGAAATCAAAGTAATTATTAATTAATAAAAAAATCTATACTTCTTTCATACTTGAGAGTTAAATCTCATGACGATGATAGGGAGTAATTACATACGACGACTCTCGCAATATATCTCAGCCTGTTGCAGATTCGGTTCAAGCCTTTCTAGTGTTGTCATTTTCTTCAGGCCTTTTAAAATTCCTAAAGAATCATTTTAAGTCTTATTTTGCCTTTTTTTTATTATTTTTTTAAAGCATGCAAATTTCACAAGAATTTCATGTTTTATTATCACCAATATCCGAAAAAAAAAAAAAAAAAAAAAAAAATCATCCCTCAACCATGTTGTAATTTCTAAAACTTTACTTAAATAACCTTTCAAACCATTCCATAGTTGAAATGAAAGTAAGTTTTTGTCTAAGTCATTCCGTTGCTTTTTGTCTAAGTCACTTTTTGTTTTTTGTCCAAGTAACTTTTCTTTTTGTCTAATTCACTTTTGTTTTTTTTTTTTATTTTTTTATTTACATTTTTTGTGAGTTTCAGAAATATTCCCTAGATCCGTGATCTACATTTGTGGATTAAAAGGTACAAATAATCAACTTTAAAATCAGTTGTTAGAATCAATGGGTCTTCAAATCCTCCATGATTATTCGTTACAAAATAATAACAATAATGACATCTTCATTGGCTTTTGCGGGTCTTGCACAGCTTTTGAATGGGTGGTTTTGGACTAAATTTGTATAGTAGGTTGAAGTGTAAACTAGAATGACCGAACTACCCTCAATTAGGATATCCTTTTGGTGGTCAGTAGTTGCCAGCATCCTTCAAATGGATAACTGTCGACATTCTCAACCATTTCTGTAATTAACTTCAACACGGTAACCATTTTCACTCAAAACCTTCCATTCATCCCATCCGTCATGGCTCGCTTAACAAACTTAAATGGAATCTTTGAAGCCTTACCAGCAATTCCTAAGCTTCCCAACATCCAAAGTCGACCACCACGAAAGAGAGCAACAATTCTTGAATGTCGTCACAGCAACAAGAATACAGAGCAAGAAATTCAAGTTACAAGAAGGATAGCATTAGGTCTGTCCACCTCAGTTGCAGTGTTTGGGAGTTGGGGAATCGGAATTTCTCTTGCTGACGATAACACCCGGTTGTGGCTAGACGGCCCTCTACCTGTACCTCCGGTCTACAACAGTAAGAAATCCACCTATCATCTTTCTTCCTCATCTTACTGTCTCATCTGTTGGGAAATTTGCACAAATATTATAAAGTAAAAACATATTACATTTTGTTAATATTTTCAATAAAAATATGCTTTTTCCATCATGCACATATTTTACTTTTGGAGAAAATATTTATTTTAGTAATTGAATTGAAAATTGATAGATATACATACACCACAACCTTGTAATCTATTGAATTGATTAAAAAAATTACGGCATAAGGAATTAATATATATATATATATATTTATTTATATATATCATAAGATACACTTTAACCATTTTCTAATCTTAGATAGAGAGAGAGGAGAGAGAAGGGCAGGAAATGGATATAAAGGTATATGCACATATGGGTGCGGGATAAAATGAGAATTAGGTAAAATAAAATTTTTATATTTAGTTTTTGTCAAAAAAAAAATGATCAGATGGATTTATTTGTATATTTTTTATTTTTTAAATTTTATGGATTAATATGCACTTTTTCAAAAAATAAGAACTAGATCTGAACAAACCCATTTGCTTTTTCTTTCACTGTTGCAGTAGATAATTATTTATTTATTTATTTACTTTTCATTACAGAAATGGCAAATGAAGAGACAGGGACTCGTTCTTTCCTCAAGAAAGGGATCTATATTGCAAATATTGGGATTGATGGAAGTGCGTATAGGCTAAGGAAGTATGCGTTTGATCTCCTGGCTCTGGGTGATTTGATTGGACACGATGCTTGGGATCATGTTAGGAGGTATCTCCACCTTAAATCCACCTTCATGTACTATGATTTCGACAAACTAATCTCTGCAGCACCACTAGATGATAAGAAACCTCTCTCTGATCTCGCCAATACATTGTTTGACCGCTTTGAAAAGGTAAATTACTCACCACTTGAAACTAGAGGTGCACACGCTCGAGCTTGATCTGGTTACCAAACCATTTCCAACAAGGGCCAAGGATAAAAGGAGAGGTCCTGCAATCTCACTAATCATTGATTAGATTCTTTCATTAATAATAATGTTATATTAATAGTCGATGGATGTGCACGACCTTTCCCTTTCAACAAGTTTAAACAGTAAAACCAAATCGAAACAATAAATTATTAGTTTTAATTGTCACTTGCATTTCAATTTGATTTGATTATTTTCAACTCTAAGTCAATTAAACTCTTTAATGATTTTGGTCGTCACTGTAACGGTTTTGGTAGTCACTATAACAGTTTTGCTAGTCACTGACATTTCATTTTAGTTTGATTTTTTTTTTTTTTTTTTTTTTTTTTACTTTAACTTTAAAATTGAACTATTATTTAACGAATCACTGATGATGAAACCAAAACATACAGTGTCTATTGATCTGGGATTTATTTATTTTATTTTTGACTTTCTAAAGAAATTTATCTTTTCTGTGTGCTGACAGCTTGATGATGCTTTGAAAAAGCACAACCTTCCTCTAACAGAATCATGTTATCAAGAGACATCAAGTATTCTCCAGGAGGTGATGGATCGAATGGCTTAAATCTACATTATCACATTTCACATCACCAAAAAAAAAAAAAATCCCGTTTTGTTTGTAATATTGAAAGAGCAGTAGTAGAAACCATTTTATGGCTACTTGGAAGGCAATAAATATAAATGGTACTTTTAAGATAAAATGATACAGCTTCAAGCCTCCCAAACATGGCACAATTTGAGCATTATCCAATAACCTAGTGATAGAGTACCCAAATTCTCGAACAAGTGTGTCAATGTTTGAGTCCCCTCCCCCTTGTTTGCCAGGATTAACCAAAAAAAAAAAAAAACATGACACAATTTTGGACATTATCCAGTAACCTAGTGGTAGAGTACCTAAGTCCTCAAACAAGTGTGTCAAATGTTCAAATCCCCTCCCCCCTTGTTTGCCAGGATTGAAAAAAAAAAAAAAAAAAACAAAACAAAACAAAACATGGCACAATTTTGATTCAGCTGTACAAGGCAACAAAATGCTTCTTTTCACAAGGGCGTACAAAGAATTTTTGCAAGTGTTAAATACCACACTCCACATTAAATATTTTTTATGAACACAAATTAAATGATTCGAAAGGGCAACCCCTATTATAACTGATACAAGCCCAATATTCTCTCTTCACTATACAAATTACAAGCAGATTGATTATGTTAGAATTGGTTTCATTTTTCAGGCAATATTTAAAATGCAACTCAAATACAGAACACAAGATTTTTCCAAATGAAATTAGAACACCTTTGCTCTTTCAAAAATCAACCACAACTCAGGCGAGAATCCGAAGACCGCATATTAGTTTGACGTCGGGGGATCCCAATCTCACAAGCATTAACTCTTGCTGCAAACCGAAGCGAACATAGTGACTCACCCACCGAGGAAGGATCAGGAGAAATATTGACAAACATCAAGGTCTTTGAGTCCCCACCTAGGCAAGGCTGTGATTGAACCATTGATTGATCAGAAATCAGAACACATCAAATAATGGAAATCAACAAAAACTCAACAAGGCAATCTAGTAGAAGTTTGGACTAATTTCTCTATTCTATTACATTTTTTGCTAAATAAATGCATATTCTATCAAGCCTAAACAATCTGGACACAAAAGTAGTTGAAACCAGACAAATGGATTCAGAATTTAAATCTAGACTAGCCTAAATAGATGATATGGTCTTTTGAACATTTAACCTAAAGCTTCCCTAATCCTTACTAATATGATGATAAAAGGCAAACGCATACTCGAGGCAAGTAGGGCAGGCTGCTAACTCAGGGATTCAGTCACTCTAGTGGTTGGTTGGCGGCGGCTCCCTCTGGCCGTCGGTAAGTGGGCAAGTAGGCCTACTAAGTCTAATTTCGCTGGGGAAGAAATAAACAACAAACCAGACAATTTCCCTCCTAGCCACTATCACCGATTTGGCCTTACCGGAACTGATTGGTTGGACTATCACACAAATGGCTAAACTACAACCAACAAGCATAGCAACCCAGAATCAAGACTTGTAAAAGTCTGTCGAGTGTATTACTCTAATGGTTCCTATGACACAGGTCAACAGACTGAGATCTGCCAATAAAAAGTATTGCACATAAACTTCAGCTTGTGTATTCAAGGTTAGTTATCTGATTTTACTCATATTTTAGGGTAAGTATTCCTTCCACCATTTCTTCCATTAATAGCAAACAGAGAAACTTCTAGAATACAGAATTAGTAACATCTCATTTACTGCATTGCTCTCATTTTAAACCATTTACCTGGAGAAGATATGTAAGCTTTGAGTTCCTAAACGGTACATGGTCCTCCTTCTTTGCCAAGGCAAATATAACATCGCTTAAAGATGATAAACTCTTATTTATGGCCTGGGTATAATAAAAAAAAAAAAAATAAACTGTTTAATAAGGAAGATCAATTACGGTAATCACTAAAAATTAACTCATAATGCTTTGTATCAATACTTGAGTTTCTTTCAGCCGGTCACCGGTAGACCCACTCTTAGAGAGACGCTCGCTGCCAGCAAGGTCAATAAGATTCAGGACACCTTGTACTTGTTGTTCAGTGCTCTAAGAAAAAACAAAGAAGGTTCATCATTGGTGAGCATACTTCTGTAAGCATGAGAGAGATGTTACGTTTAACATGCTAGAAAGGATGGCGAGCCAGAAGTCGTACCTCATTAACACCAGATATTCGCAGAGTGAAGACAAAATGACTTCTCGAAGATTGCTCATTCATCTGGGTCCTGCCAACCGACCTATATGAAAACAAATTGTTCAATAAACATGGAGACAAAAAAAAAAAAAAAAAAGCACTCTTTAAAATTATTATTATTATTATTCTAACAATAACAACAAATAAAATAAAAACTAAAATCTAACACATCATATGGTTGCATAAATATTTTGATGCAATACACCACATGCAATATTTGAGAGAACATTTTTTTTTTTTTTTTTTTTTTTTTTTTTTTTTTTTTTTTTTTTTTTTTTTTTTTTTTTTCTGTTCTTTAAATCATCTTAAATTATATACTTGCCTTAATAAATGAATGAGGTCGGCCACATGAATTCTTTTTCTAAGTAATGTCTGCAAAAAAGAAATACGTAGATACTTCTCTTTTTCTTTCTTTTTTTTTAAATTTTAAAAATAAAGAAATAAATAAGGCCGAAGATTCATAATGCCAAGGGCTGGTAATATGTAAGGAAATAGGAAACACTTGAAACTTTTTTTTTTTTTTTTTTTTTTTGTGGGGGGGGGGGGGGGGGGGGGGAGGAGAGAGAGAGTAAGCTTTTTACATTTGAACAACCACAGACAAAGTTCCCAAAACAAAATACATGGATCAAAAGGGAAAACAATGTGTTAGGATCCAATACTGTTGAATACCTGCTCTGTGCAGCCTGATCTAGAAGAAATGAAACCTCTTTGCTACTATGAACATCCACAATTGTTAGATCAGAGACATGAGTATTTCCATTTGCATCATGCTTAATGGCAAACTGCTTTCCTACAACACCATTCTCTGTTCGTGACACATCTGATCGATTTGTTGATAACAAATCACGTATCGTTTCATTATATATTTCCAACATTGAAACCTATACATGTTCAAAAGACAAATGTTCAGAAACCATGAATATGGAATGAACAATATGTAAAATTTCACTACTCACCTGCATTTCATACTTCCATCCTTGTGGTTGAAGGGATTGCATTGTCTGAAATATCTGCTCTAATGAGCGGGGTATCAACCCTTTCTGATCTGGGCTTCCTGGCCTACCCATCATAGTATATGTTTTACCAGAACCAGTTTGACCATAAGCAAATATGCAAACCTAGAAAAAGAACACCATTGTCCATTAGCACGTGAACCTAGAAAAAGAACACCATTGTCCATTAGCACGTGACTGATACCAACAGTTCTAACCTCATACAAAACAATTGCAATACATTCTATGAAATGGCATGTGAACATTAAGATAATTCCGAATTGTCAACACTTGGTTGGCCTAATTGCATGAACTACAGAAAGAAGAATTACTTTAAAGAACCCAACAACTGATAATACCTTGAGAAATAGTTTGTAAGATCTTCTAGAGTCATAGATTCAAGTGATGAAATCATCAGCGATAGTAATGAAGATCAAAAGTAGAAAATACCAAAAGCGTGAAATAAACATGATCTCTGCTGGGGTGGAGCAGGAATTTTATCTTGGGGGGCCGAATTAGTAACATGGAAATAAAACTTAAGAAAAATATCTGAAAAATCCTGGTATACGAGTAGCAGCAATAGTACATAATTTTGTGATTGCAGGCTATTCAAATAAGTTTCAAGATTGAACCAATACGAAAAAAAAAAAAGCTGTTGGGAAACCAATGCTAAGGCAAAGTTGGAATTGTATAATAATGTAAGTGCAAAAGATCTTCTTATGCAAATAGGATACAAGAACAGCGGATAAAAGAGAAGACGGAAAAATTTTAAAATTAAATTAAATTTGTTAGAGAGAGGTTTTTTATAAAGGATATCATGAGAAGAATGAAGAAAAAAAGGAGTATCCAGAAAAAGAAAGAAGCTCACAAGCTAGGGTTTCTAGTGGATACGAAGAAAAGATTGATGAAGATGACTAAAAGGAAAAAATGGCAGTGTAGCCTGACCTGATCATTGGAGTTGGACTTCGGTGTCCATATTTTGTTTATTTGAAGGGGCACATGTTTTGAAAAATCAATTTCCTTTTTATTTATTTTTTATTTGGAGGGGCCAGATATTAAAATTCTTAAAACTCAATGGTCTATTATATAGAATTTTGGAAAATTTTAAAGGTACATAAAATTTTCAAAAATTTATTCTGCTCCTGTCCAAAATAATTATATAATCTTACTTATTAAAAAATTAATAATTATTAAATAGGTTAGAGTGTGTCACCAATGCTAAGACTTTTTACAAGTGATTACCAACCACCACTTGGAAAAGATAAATACATAAACCATTTCTACAGTAGTTGCCATGAAACAAATCAAATTTATTGAACATAAATAATAAAATTTGGAGTCCACTAAGCAATAAATCACCTTATAACCATCAAGAGCACTCTGTACAAGCTGTGAGATTTCCACAAAAACATCCTCTTGTAGGGCATCAGGCATAAATACTTTGTCAAATGTGAAAGAATGTTTTTGCCCTTATGACAATGGAAACATAGATAAGAGTCATATACAAGACACAATAAAGAAATAATGTATCTAAAAAACATACTTCTAAATGGACATTTTTCTAGTAAATATATACCATTTTGCATCAAGTCAATGGCCCGTCCAAGTGCTTCGGTTGTCGTGGGATAAGAGAAAACCTTTGCCTCCATGCCAGCACTATCATCAGGCAACAAAGGTCGTACTCTGCAGAAAACGCGAATGTTCCCTTTCAATTCCTGCAATGCAGTAGTCGCTAGTGAAAATTTTGTGTACAGCCATATGGGGGAAGTGTACTTTTGTGCAAAGTCAGTACCAATATAGTATTGTGCAACTTTTTGCGTTGCTTCTCTCCTTCAATAATCTTCAATTCTGCATCTGTAAGACGACCTTGTAAGTCAAGAATAATGTTTTTCTGCTCTTCGAATTCTGTTCTTGTCGCCAATGCAGACATATCAGACATCTAAAAACAAACCAATGAAACAGTTAACAGTCACCCATACTTGAACCCAGAAGCCACATGGCCCAAATATAGCTAATTTAAAACATGTTTCATGTTATCGTAATTCATCATACCTGCAATTTCTTCTCTGCAATAGCGAGTTGACCTTGCAATGTTTTAATTAGGTTACTTTGAGACAAACATCTTGCCTTCAAAACAAACATGTCTCGTATAAATTATCAACCAAGGCATAATATTTGTATGACAAGAAAGGGAAACAAAACGAGCATACCTCCAAATCATTCGACTTTATTGCTAAGCTGTCTAACTCAGCAAAATATCTTCCAGTAGACTCTTTATATTTCACTACTTCAGCTGTTAATGTCTCTACTTGTAACAATTGGCGGTCACGATCATCTCTCACTAGCTGCAAATCTCCCCTTAGGCATCCAACTTCAGTCACTAAAGCTTCATTCTGTTTCATTGCCTGATCTTGAGAAGCCTAACAAAACAATTCAAGAAAAGACATTCAGATATCAAATGGTGGGGGAAAATAAATAAATAACTACCACTTGATTGTAGCATCACACAACCCACATAACAAGCTGAATGTATAATACACATAGTAAGATGGCATGTCCAATATAATATATTATTCTATATCAAAATTATGATGGTGATGATAACGATGATGATTCTGTCAAAATTATGAAAAAAAATAAACCTGTCAAGGACCCAAATTAATTAAATTGCAAATCACCATAAAACTTGTTAAAGATGTTTACACACAAACCAGCTTGTTCTTTTAAAATCCAGATGGAATTACATAACAAGATAGATAGAACGGCTTGAAGCATATCACAGCACAGTGAAATTAGAAAATGTAGATGCTGGTGTGAGATCAGTAATCTGCCAAGTCAGTAAAATTCAACAAGAATAGCAGTACGAAGTTGCTTCTTTAAAGGGTTGTATGCATATTCGTTGGTAACATCTATATCATTTCCTTCAATGTTATGAAATTCTCTACAGTTGTGAATTCTTCCCAATCTCCATACAGTTGTACAGTATCTGCCATATGAATAGACCCCTCAACAACACTATAACTTGAAGTAGTGAGAAATGCAAAAGAAAAAAAAAATAGTATGTTGCACTAATGAATCGCAAAGAAAAGAAGGGAACCAACTCTAGATGAACAGAGCTGATCCTGCAATGAGTTGTAGTGTCCTCTTAAGGAACTGAGGTTCTCCACTACAGCAGCTTTCTCTTTCTCCACACGCTTAAGGGTCTCATTAGTCGTAGCAAGCTCAGACTGAAGTTTACTGTTATACTGCTGCAAACTTGTATTATACTCCTGCAATCGCTTGTACATGTCATTAAGTGACGCTATCTGCAGAATTCAATAAACCCAGTGAAGTTAGTAAAGTGATTTTTAAATTTTAACTGATAACTGAAATGAAAGGGAAATAAATTTGATTCGATCCAATTTTATCATTTCACATTACCTTCTGCATAGCATTTGTGTTCTCTCGCTGAGTTCTCACGAGCTCTTCGGAGAGAGAAGCCTGTAACTTCTCTGCAGCAGCCCTAGCCTCTTTTTCTCTTGTCAGAGAATCTATTGCAGCCTAATTGTCATGTACAAAAAAGTAAATACCCATGGATAACAGTTTGCAAAAGTAAATTTGTATAGGCAATCCATTAGTTTACATATCAATGTTGTTGTTCTCAGACTTACCAACTTATCTAATTCTTCCTTTGTAAATTTCTCTTGTAATGAAGCGTAATTTTTTCTCAACTCCATAATAATCGAATTCAACTCGTCTTCCTTTGCTTTTATCAACATCTCTAAGAGCAGAGGCAAATCAATTTATATCAATGAATATATCAAAATTTCCAGTGAATTGAAGAAAACAGAAGAAACCAATCATACCCATATCTGCACATTTTCTCTCTGCCAATTCCAACAAATTCCTTAGCTTCTGTTGCTCTGAGAGATAGTTTCCTTCAAGCTCTTGGAACCATTTAATGCAAAGCCTAAGCCTTCTTATGTATTCCATCATCTGGTCACATTTCTCCTACAGATATCAAAGCTTTTTGACATAAATTAAAATATATATAAATAAAAAAATAAATAAATAATAAAAATAAAAACCCAAAATCATATACTCCAGTACTTTAAAATTATTAAATTAACTTAAGGAGTTAAATTCCTCTAACCTTAAGATTAAATTTGTTCTTTGCTTTCATCTTCTCATTCAATAATGCCTCAACATCCTCCTTGGTGAACTCGATCCCCCCACATTCGGAACTGGCATTGCTAGCAAGATCTTGACCTCCTCCTCCGCCGACTCCGCCTCCATTCACAACCGAAAAGGCTTGCCGGGTTCTGACGGCATTTGCCGGCCCCACCATTTTTGGAACTCCTCCTCCGATATTTCGCCTCTTTTCTACCGAAACTTCATCGACAGAAGAGTAGTTGCTCTACAAATCAATAAAAAAGTAAAACCCACAAACAAATTCATGCAATCTTTAACCTAAAATACGGATCAACTATAAAACCCCAAATTCTGAAAGGTAGAGAATGTTATGAGCGACAGAGTCAATCAATCAAACCTTACATTTGAAGAAGGGTTTGCAGGTGTAGGAGTGTTGGGGACTGGAGGCTTGTTCTGGTTCTTGGAAGCCATTTGATTTGAAGAAGACTAGAGAGAGAATTTAGAGAGAGGGAGAGAGTGAGTTGGGGAGGGTAAGTTGGGTGTGTGGTTCTGGTGGGACCGTAGATTGTAATCAAAGATACCGATTTTCAATCTGCAGCCGTTGCTTTAATCTGCAGGAACTCACGATCCACACAATGGAATCCGATAGCGAAATGAATTCTTTATTAACCCCTAAGAAATAAAAAATAATAATAATAATTAATTAATAAAAAGAGGTAATTTCTCTTTTTCAGTTTTAAAATTTTCACTGCGCATTAACTCCCAAGTCTGAAGTTTCTCTCCCCCCCCCCCCCCTCTAGACCTCATCTAAATGGTAATTTCGTAAATCCGAGTGTGGTGTGGGAAGAGCGTGCGTTGGACTTTTCAAATTGTTTTGAAATTGAATATGGCGGTATCCTGAGACCCAATGAAAGAGATACGTTAAAAGTTCTTAAGGACAAATATGCCCCTAATGTTTAATCTCATTTACCAATTACGATGTAGCTTTTTTTTTTTTTTCTTTTTCTTTTTCTTTTTTTCCTGATTGTTTTTTTAATGGGTCTTTCCATGTGTTTATAATTTGGATAAATTACACTCACATTCCTTCATGTTAGGCCTAATTACACACGGCGATCTAATTAAATTATTTATTAGCAAAAATATTCACACATGGAATCTATCTTAAAAAATATGTTCCGCATCATTATATTAATATTTATTTAAAGAGAATTGCTATTTCTCCTGACTACAAAAAAAATCGACTTAATACGACTCCTACATTGATATTAGTATGTCAGCCAACTGTTCAAAATTCACAAGCAGTTTACAATTCTTCTTCTTCTTCTTCTTCTTATTCTTCTTCCTCTTCTTCTTCTTTCCTCTCTCACTCCATCATCTCCCCCTTCCCAGCGAACTCTCCGTCCTAATCGTCCGTCGATCAAAGTGTTCATCGAATCCCCAAGGATTGATACTTTGATTTTTTTTCTATGCATAAATGACCCCATCTCAACTCTTTGGAACACTGTTTGGAACCCAAATCTCTCTCTAAACATGTATCTCTCTCTCCGCTAGTAGATATTCTTCCCATGGTCGGTTAATCTCCCCACTCGCAGCTGGCAAGAGTAGGCATAGGGTAGTTAATGTGGGTCTTCGTCCCCAACACAAACAGGTTTCTGCAATATTTTTCCAACTAAACTCTAGCCCCTTCCACATTCAATTCAACTCACTAATCTACATTAAAACTAATTGACTGACTGACTTCATAGGGCTTTAACAATGATCATCGACCCACATGCCAGTGACCTAGCGGTACCAAACTCCTACTTCCCAAAGGGAGGTCAAGGGTTTAAGTATCAGTGGAGGCATGTGCATGTGAGTACCAACTAAGAAAAAAAAAATGGTGATCATCAAAACGAATCTAAATATTAAAATTGAAATCATGTGTACCAAAAAAATTGGGTCCAAGAAAAGCTTCATCCGCGGCCTTGGGTTCTCAATGTATATACATTTGTAACACACACACACACACACACATACACACACATATTATGAACCAGATTGGATGCTTTTGCAACTGTGAACACCTTTAAAACCAAGAATCCTCAATCAAGATCACATCCTTGATGAATTGATTTAAAGTTGGAACTAAACCGGAAAAGAAAAACTATCCGTCGTCGTTCTCTCCCTTCTCCTTGCTTTTGTTTTACTTTTTAATTTTGGGTAAGTGCAGAAAACACCCTTGAAGTATACCTTTCATAGTACTTTTACCCCCTATTTGAAAAAGTGTGCAATAAACACCCCTAATCTTTTGATATTGTGCAAAATTACCCCTCTGTTAAAAATCTGACACCAATTAGGGATGTAATACCCATTTTACCCTTTTATTTTTCCCAAAATGCCCATGCAATCACCCTCTTCACTACAATCATCCTCTGTCGTCCATGCTCACCGTCTCCACCGTTGATCTATCCGCTTCACGCTGAAAATTTTAGTGTTCACCGTTAATCCATCGGCCTCAAACCTTACTATGAGAACCACGGACCAAGGAAAGGCGAAAGCCCAGAGCAACAGTGTTACTCTCTCTACCATCAAATCTCAACTCTCGCCATATCACTCTCTTCTCACTCGTCTAACCTTGCTCCCTCTCTACAAAATCCATTAGATTTAAGCTTAATCAAAGCACTCACCCCTGCTCTCTCTCTTCGAAATTACATGTTCATTGGTTTAAGGTTAATCAAACCACGCATATAGGAAGAATGAAATCACAATCAGTGGGTGGTTAAGGGTACTCATAGCACTCACCCTTTCCCTTCCTTCAAGGATCGCCGAGATGCCGTCACACCATACACTTACCGTAATTTCTTAGCCAAGGACTGTCGAGATGTCGCCACACCACACACGTACCACAATTTCTCAGCCTCATAAACCAGTGCGGTCTCTGGCCGATATCCGATTACGAATTCGATGTCATCGTTGGTGTTTTCAAGCCCGAAGTTCGGCTAGAGCAAAGAAGCTTCTCCAATCTGAATCTTGGCCGGACCGAGCGGCGTCTCTGAAATCCCTAAGGAACATGTTGCCGCCACCATTAGCGCCTCTAGTACCTTCACTGATTGGTCTTCGCCGCTGCCAATACCTTCGGTAGCGCGAGAACTCGCTACTGTCATTCCGCCATCATGTTTGCAATCGTCGATCTCTTCACCGCCCTCTACACCTTCGATTAAGGCTCTGCCCTCTACAACCGTCAATCTCTTGCAACCGTCTTTGTATTGGGGTTGTAAATTATTTTGCAGAATAATGTTTAATGTCTTTTTGGTCTTTTTACAAAAAATAAATAAATAATAAAAATAAAAATAAAAATTTATATATTTTATAAAATTATTCAATAAGGGTAATTTGGTCAATTTAAATTTTAAATGTGTCAGGGAGACCTAATTACACCAAATTGAAACTTGAGGGGTGTTTTTTGCACGTGAGGGGTGTGATGACTACCCGAGCGTGTGCACAAAATAATGCACAACACTTTGAGTTTAGAAATTAGTGTTAAGTGGGCATCATACTTTAAATTTATACATCACGTAACTCCTATACTATGTAGTATGAGTGAGAAGGGATCATCCCAAGAGATTATACGTGTTGGAATTTAATTTTGACTCTAATGTATCAATTGATTGCAAGGAGAGATTGGTTGATTAAACTAAGGTGCAATGAAATTAAAATGCAATTAAAACAACTAAATTGAGATAGGGTTTGATTGGTAGGAAGAGAGGTCTTGGGGTGTTAGAATCGCCACCAAGTTCGTTCACCAAACCATACACTTTCAACTAATTTGGGGAAAAATATTCTTGTGAACGAAATACGACTACCAATTGCAAAAGTAAGCATAGACCATCAAATTTAATAATGAATTGTCTACCTAACCAACAAATAAACTAAGTGTAGAACAACCCATCAATTCTAAGCATGACCCATCAAACTAGCCATAATTGTAGCACACATTAATCTAGAGAATTATGGAATTTGCAATAATATGCCATGGAATATGAAATAAAGTCTAGATTGTCTACCTACCTACAATCATGAATTAAATTGTTGAACAACCCATCAAGCATAAGCATAATCCATCAAATTAATTGACAAGCCCATCTAATAAAAATCATGTTTAGTCATCACTAGATTCTCAATAAGCATAATCCATCAAATTAATTGACAATTCCATCTAATAAAAATCATGTTTAGTCATCACTAGATTCTCAATCAACTACACATAGACATGCAATTAATAGAAAAATTAGTGTAGAGAACAATTTCCAAACAATCACACATAAGATAACATGTAATCACATAAAGAATCAATAGAAAGAATTAATCCATAAAAATCAAAGGAGAAACCCAAGATTCATTAAATTCACAAGGCTAAAGCACTAATCATAAAATATATTCCCCAAAAAGTATGAAAGAGATAGAGGTTTAGATTACAAACTTGAGGCTCATCCAAGCCCTAACGAGAAATCTAGCCAATCATGGAGGAGGTGGATGTAATCTTAGAACCCTCAAGGGCAATCCCCAAACATGGCTCCATCTTCTTCCTCTTCTTCTTTGTTGAATTCTAGAGAGAGAGAGTTTGTAGATCTTGAGATTTGTTCTTAACGCCTCCACTCTTTTCTTTTCTTCTAACCATAATCTCTAACTTTTCTAGAGAGAGAAACTAACTATTACAATGTAAAAATAAAAATAAAATTCAAAACAAAAGATAGATTACAAAATGGTTCAATTCCCCCTTTATACAGGCTTCTTGGAGTAGTAAACAAGTTAAAAAATAAGCCTTTAAAATATCTAATCATGCAGCTATGTGGTAGGTGGAGTTCGGGCGTGCGGGAATAAAACAACTTGCTATCAGCATATCTTCGATCGATTAAAGAAATCTATGATTGATCCAAACCCACTGGTGGTGAAATTCTGCATTTTTAACCTTTTTCCAGATTTTTCTGGAATTTTCTCGAAACTTTTGCTTGACTCCAAAAAGGCAGTAATGGACCATTTTTAGCCCGTTTGAACCTTATTGACCTAAAAATAGACAAAAACATAAATTAGTACTAAAACGAGAAAATAAAGATAGATGAATGGACTAAAATACCCTAGTCTAGGTGCTAAAATGCATCACATTTGAGCACTCATTAGGGTGTGATATGCACTATAAGTACACTTGAGGGGCCCTTTTTTATTTTCACCGCAATAATGAGACACATGGACAGTTGGTATAGAGTCGGGTTATAATTGTTGTCAATTTTGTCATTACTCTTATCTAAAATACCCAAGTGTTGACCCACATGTTACTCAAGTAAATCAAAACAAATATTAATTTAAACCTGATCGGTATAATTCTCAAGATTAAGAGTCATCTTACATTAGTAGTAACAGACAAATAAGAAAAACTGGGATAAGTCACTCCACTTAGTGTTTCCAGCAAGTTAAAAATCAATGATTACACTCTTGAATGTCTAATTCTATTCCTTTGAGTGTGAACATTAATAATTACAAATATTGATGAATTTATATCTCCAATGCATAAACCTTACAGTATGTGCATATAAA